GAAGAAGAGGAAGAAAAAAATTCTAATTTCTTCATCTGTTTTTTTTTTATTTTTTTCAAATCTCTATTTGAATATGAACATACAATATTTCTCCAATAGAAATGTGTGCGTGTGTAAGTGAATGCATCTTGACCTGTAAGATGTCGATCTTGAAAGAGATCACCCGAATGAGAGTTGGTAAACTCTCATTCGGAGAGTAAAATCTATTGAAGGATTCTCCAAGTTTTGTGGGCATTTGTTAGGCGTTCGAGTGTTGTGCGCATGTCTGTTACCGCTCTTCCGTCCACTCTTAACCCGCTTGCCGGAATTTAAAAGAAAATCTGAATGTTTATCTACCAACACTGTAACACCCGCATATGCATGTGTGTGAGATACACCACTCACTGTCTGTGTGTGAATCTGTGTTTTGTATATGTGAAAATATTGTTTTCCAAAGGCGGCGATACCAAACCAAAACAATGTGTGTGAATAATTTTCAGTTTGTGTGATTGTTCGATCTCCAAATGCTATGCGAAACCTAACCAAAACAGTTTGTGTGAATAATTTTCAGTTTGTGTGTGTGTTCGAGCGAGCGCAGTAGAAAGAACATTTTTTTTGAATTTGTTTTTAGAAATGTTTTCTATTATTTTTGGAAATATTTCGTGGTGTTGTTTATTTAATTTTATTTATTTTTTCGTACATCCTCTAGTATTTTGTTTTATGTACAGATGGACGGGTGCATGCAGACGGACAAATGGACAAACCGACAGGCAAGATGGACAGACGAAACATGTAGATATTGTTGGTGGGGGCCACCGAGGGTACATCCATATTCGATTCACATTTCGTCTGCTGCTAGGTGGGTAGGTATGTAGGTAGGTGGGTGTGGGAGTATTGCTGATTTCGGTGTATCTTTGCTAAACATGTACTATTTATGTACAAAGTATATCGCGCGATCTATACACTGGCCCATGGCGGGAAGTGTGCGGGTGGTTAAATATTTTTGTTAAATATTTTTTTGATTACACTATAGAAAGCCGTAATCACCGTCATTGCCTCAGTATCGCCTACACATTGGTCTAAATTCTCTTTTATGTATTTTTTCGTAATTTGGAAAGAGTTGTGAAAAGTGAAGGAAAATAAAAAAATCCACGTCAAAGAAAAACCTTTGAAAATAGAATCCATTTAATAAACATTCGTTGGCAATAATAGTTCTGCTTTTTAATAGAGAGAAAGAATAAGAAGAAGAAAAAACAGATATTTATGGACATTCAGTCAAGTATATACAAAAATATACTTCTTTGCTGGAATCGAAACGATGACGATGATGGAAAAGAAAAATGTGTATTTGTGTCAGTATTCAAATGTTAATTGTTAATTAAAGAAATATATTTAGTAAATTAAATAAAAGGAATGACATTTAAAGAAGTTATTCTGGTTATTCATATTAGGTATTTTAAAAGATAATGTTGAAGAAAATATTAAGACATTGAGAATATCATTTAATTTGTGATTTTTGAAATCGCCAGAAAAGTGTTATTTAAAGTTGTGACAAAACTAAAAGTAACACCATATATGGACAAGTTTTTTTCTGATTACAATTTTGTATTACCAAATAGAATGTATTTGAAGACGATAATATGCGAGTCAAAAAATAATAAAAGCGGTTGTTAATTTGTAAACATGAGGCGATAGCCGAATTCTTTAATATATATTTTTTATCTCGTGATATTTTCTAAATTTAACTTATTTAAGTGATCGCGATTGAAAATAATTGAATGCTATAGTTTTATTTCTTTAAGAAAACAAAATGTTGTTAAAAAGTATATATTTTTGCGATAACTGGTTACAAAATGTTAAATTATTATCTTGACGACTACAAAAAATGGTTATAGTGATCAAACAACGTTGAACTGGGCCAACTTTCAATTTATTAAAATATATATTGCATCATTATTATAAAATTCCTAATTTGAACGTGTTTGGAAGTTTTGTAATACCATATCATTGGTTATGTCTTCTCTCCAATGTCATTTAGAAAATTCGTATTCGATTATTTGGAACAGAGATTTTGATTGGGCCAGAGATTCCATTTTTTTTTTGCCTTAATTAGAACAGTGGGTTTGTGAAATAAATAACACATATTAAGGTTTCGAGGGCGCTGATTACGATTCTTCAAGAAAATATTAAAAATTTAATAGGGTGGATCGAAAACTGCGGTATTTTTTAAGTTGATAAAATTTTTTAGAGCTATGACCACTAATTACAAATGTTAAATCAAATTGTTGAAAATCAAATGAATATAAAATGTAAAGAAAATATTTCATTTCATTGCAGTATTTAAAATCAGAATAATATAAAATTGTGTTTTTAGTGTATTACGCTCTTAAAACCATGGCATATCTCAATTGAATTGAAAATTTTGCTCAAAATCCTCAAACTCCCAAATAATGGAGAGTCCGTTTATGGAGAGTCCGTTTGGTACGAAGACAGATAATTTGGTTGAAATTGGCTTTACTAAAACAGTTCCTTCTGTTTAATTGACATTTATTTCATGTTAATATTTAAAAAAATTAAAATACGAAATTTTGACTTTGACCTCATGACCCACAATATTATAAAATTTTACTGGTGTTAAACGAATTTGAAATATATAACGTTTTATCGGATCTACCTGAAGTGAACTTTTTGCCAAAAAATTCTGGCCCATAGTGCACTGTGAGAAAAAATATAATATGGATGTCTCGTCTTTGAGTATCCAAACTAAAATCTGTTATTAAAAATGCTGAAACTAAGGAAACTAACTAATTAGAAACCAGTAAGGAAAGTAGTAAAGTCGGACAGGGCCGACTATATGATACCCTCCATCACTTTGGGTATATTCAACAGATGAGATCCTAACAGACGTCGCATTTTTTAAGGACCATTAACATGAAATTAAACATGTCATTTTGCAACCTATACTAAATTTTGGTCAGATATAGAGTTGCTTCTTATAATGGGACAAAATTATATAAATAATAATGTATAATAAAGCAAAATATCGAAATCTAAACCGATTTCATCGAAACTTGTCACATGTTCAGCCACATTTTGAGTTCTTCATTTACTTATAAATCCAAATTTCGTGCAAATGGAAGGATATATAGGGACTTTGGTGCACCATTTACACAAAAACTGACGAAAATATATATGAGAGCTATATCTAAATCTGAACCGAATTTCACGAAATTTAAAACACATCGTTCTAGACTTAATTCAGAACGCAATGTCAAATTTCGTGCAAATCGAAGGATATATCGGGACTTTGGTGCACCATGTACATAAAATCGGACGATAATATATATGGGAGCTATATCTAAATCCGCGCCGATCTTCACGAAATTTAACACACATTGTTCTAGCCTTAATTCAGAATGCTATGCCAAATTTCGTGCAACTCGAAGGATATATAGGGACTTTGCTGCACAATTTAACTAAAATCGGACGAAAATATATGTGGGAGCTATATCTTAATCTGAACCGATTTTCAAGAAATTTAACACAGATCGTTCTAGACTTAATTCAGTACGCTGTTCCAAATTTCGTGCAAATCGAAGGATATATAGGGACCATTTACATAAAATCGGACGAAAATATATATGGGAGCTATATCTAAATCTGAACCGATTTTTCCCAATTTCAATAGGGTTCGTCCTTGGACCAAATAAGTGAACTGTCGGATCACAAATGCAAATCGGATCACAAATGCGACCTGTACTTTGTTAACAAAAATACATGGACGAACGGACGGACAGACGGACATGCATAAATCGATTTAAAAAGTGATTCTATGCATATTCTCAAGAGGAACCATGTGTCTATCTCGTTTCCTTTTGCCTGTTACAAATATATGCACAAAGACATAATACCCTGTACCACAGTGTGGTGAAGGGTATAAAAAGTGAAATATTTTATTTTACTTTAGTTAATTTTACAATAACCGGGTACATTTGTACCTATTTTTTCAATAAAAATCCTGTAAAATGTTCAATAATAGAGATATTTGGACAACAGGCGACCATCAGGGCACTCGAGGAAGTCAAAAACTACCTTGGTTTCCCATTACCATTTATTACTTTTCGTAGCCGTTAGTACGATTTACCAAAACTTCATCAATTCTACACTCCAACAGTACTTTGAATCAAAAATTTCAGGATCCCAAATCTATTCGTTCACAAAGTTCCAACTTGTACAATTTACAGTTCCAGTTTATTTCTATTCGTACGTATTAATTCGAAATTTTCAACACTACCTCAATCCTGTACTGTAAAAGTAATTTTAATATAAGTTTTCCATATCCATCGCATGGTGCAATAATACAAGGTAGGGCAGCTTGAGGTGAATAACAAAAAAGCAACTATGCACGTGTGGCTTCTTCTGCCAAAAATAAAATAAATATACGCAACAAGTGTTTGTGTTTATTTGACATTTTTTCAACACAAAACTAAAAACGCGAAAAATTAATGAAAGGTTATGATTTCTTCCCAAAATCCAGTAGGGAATACGATCAAATGTTTGTTTCATCCATAAAAAAGTAATTACTTCCAGACGAACGTGTTAAAAATATAATTTTAATTTCAATTAAATTTGAATAAATTTAAATTTATTTTGAATTTATTTGACATAGTATTCAAAACATTACACACACATACACAAAATATGTATTTTGATTTGATGGAACAAGCCATCTTTAGAAAAAATTGTAATCAGTAGGTAGCTGTGCCCTACCTTGTAATAATTATACCATGGTCCAGACGAACTTGACAACGTTTTTAGTTTTTGCTGCTACTTGGAATGGTCAGAATTTGGTAAGCATAATAATTTAATTTCAATTATTAATCGAACATCTTTATACATTTCAGATACATTTACAATGTCGGAAATTTGTCTTACATAAAAACTCCATTGCCGATCTACGATGGATGCTGAAAATCAACATATTTCAATTATACATTTTGGGTTTCAACATTCAATCTGACTTAGAGCAATTTCCTATGAATATATTTAGCAATCTTCAATCGTGTTCGACGACGCACCACCAACCAATGTGCTAGCAGCTCCACACCAAATACACACATTGCCAAAAATTGCAAAATCGAATTTAAAGCAAACGGTCCAATGACATGATCCAGAGTTAAACTTCTAAATCGCTCCTCATGGGCGCGTTGGATTTCTTCGACGATTTTACGACGCATATCCAAATCTTGAGCCCATTTATGCAGATGGCCCGACTCGATAATATGCTGTATGACCGGATTGATTTTATGCAGCAAATGGAACTTCTTTGGCAATAACATGGTCACCAAATACACATAAATATTCTCGTTGCGATCGAAACAGTAGAGATTGTCACGGGGTATACGGGGATTGTAAAAGGAATGTTGTCGTGAAACAGCCACTGCTAATTTGTGATCGATGGCGGCACGATCCAAACACTCTTCAATGTTGTAGCACATGTGAAAATGTTCGCGGACATAGCGAAAAGTCTAGAGGAAACAATTATGAATGCTGTTTTCATATTTCGCTTTGATTGATTTGACGAATACTACTCACCTCACCCTCCTTACTCAAATGACGCACATTGTCAACACTTCCCATGACTTTCATACGATTGGCATAGATCTCTTCAATGCGACTAATTTGATAGGACGATTTGGGTGTTGTAAGGGTGCTAATCAGGAAACTCTGATAGACATTGCTGAAAATCAGACCCATAAAGAACGTGGTACCAAAGCAAATTTGTAGACTGGTAGGTATACGGGGCAAATTTATCGCCTGACTCAAGACCACACCCATGACATAGATATTAATGCTGAAAAAGCTTTTCATTATGTCCAAGCGAAGTTTCAGAAGCTTCAGAGACATGGCTATGCCAAAAGAGGCGGTAAGTATGACCAGTACGGTAAGTGACCAGGCGACATTATCGAACATTGACATGAAATTGAAGAGATTGTGGGTACGTCTTGCCTTCGCCACACACCAGGTCAGATCATCCTGAAGGTAGGGTATTGTACTGGACACATATTGACTTATGCTGGGATCCTCATCTATGCCGCCTATAACCATTTCAATGTCACTAGGGGGGTAGCCAAATAAGTTTAGATTATTTAGATTCCTAAACATATACTGGAATTGGAACTTACCCATCAATTAGTTGCTGAAACAAATGATAGACATTTGTATTCTCCACCTGCATATCAATACTGATGTGTAGCCGCTCGGCAATAGTTTGTATCATTTTATATTCGATGCCATTTAAACGGATCTCCACACCAGCATCACCACCATTTGAGGTGGATTCATCATCATCATAGGACTTATAATCGGAATCCACAACACCATCATCATCCACATAATTATCATCATTGGCATAGTCGTCTGTATCGGCATTGCCGCCTGCTGCAGTAGGATTTTCGTTTTTATTTTCCAATTTCTTTTCATGCAAGGCTTCATTGAAAATGAAAGGCTCCCAAGGACGATAGGCGGCCACCAAAGGACAACCACTCAAATCTTTGGGAAATTTATCCAAAAATAATGCCCTATACATTTCTTCTATGTAATATTTGGGGCTATCCGATTCCTCTTCAGATTTCAGGGGCAGGGATTTTATGTTATGGGAATTTTGTATATTGGATTCTACATGTGACTTGGTGCCCAAAGGATCTTCAAAAGAATTGCCAACGGACTCGGACCGTAATGCAGTATCCCTAATTTCGTTACCATTTTCGTATTTCAACAAAGTCTGTTTCTTTCTTAGACTTCCCGATCTTTCTTCGTGACTTTCTACGCCTTCAATTGATTTTGTATCAATATTATTTCCATGTACCTCTGAAGAAGGTTCGCCACTCAAATCTGCATCCTCATTGGATTGTTTATTTTCAGTATCATTCTCTTCTTCAACATCTGTGGAATGGGTTTTTGGCTTTTTTGAGGTTATATCCTTAGACTTTTCAGATGACATTTCCTGTGGTTCTTCCGACACTTCGTCCATATCCCCATTCTTTGTGATTTCATTACTGCTTTCATATTTCGATACATTTGCCTCTCTATTATCACCATTATCTTCATTTTCAGTATTCAAATTACTCTCTCCTTCGCTTTTTGCAACATTCTCCTCTCCATTGTCAGTGTTAACTTCATCTTCAGTATATGTATGATTCTCTTCTTCTCCATTTGAAACTGGTGTCTCTCCATTGTCGACATTATCTTCATCTTCAGGATTTTCTCCCTTGGAAATAGTTTCTCCTTCATTACCACCCTGATCATCATCTCCACTCTCATCGTCCGCTTTTGTAAAATGTTCCTCTCCATTACCACCATTATCATCATCTTCAGTTTCCTCTTCAGCATTGGAGTTATTATCTCCTTCCCCCTCCTCTTCTCCATCCGCCTCCTCCTCCTCTTCATCATCATCTTCGAATTTATCTGTATCCTGATAATCACACAAATCCAAAGTCTCTATATTTATCACACGATTACCACAATTATTATCCGGATGATAGGGAAATACCGATTTACCATAATAATAGGTCTCTTCCTCATTCTGGCCGATCACATTGACATTATAGATTTTCTTATTCATAAAATTCAATAAGATTTCAATCATAATATCTGTCATTTCTTCGGCCGTCTCTTCCACCGACGAAAGGTACACCACAAACTGGGCCAATGGATTCCAATTTATGCTCAGTTTCCAATTTTCAAATATCTGATCCATATCCTCATCGTCCATATTGTTGATGACCATAAAGTAGCATTGAGGTTTTTCGTGTAAAATGAAATTTGGCAAATCGGAATTACCCCGCTTATGCGAATCTCTAACCACAATAGACCAAGGATGATTGGGTAATGCATGCAGTGCCTTCAGCAGTGACTTCTGCAAATGTAACGATGCCGAAGTAAGGGTAAAATGCAGAACAGAACCCGACAGCGATTCGCCTGAATAGAAATATTTTTCCAACAATGCCACAGTGCAGACTATTTGACCGGGATCATCCTCCGCCACTTTGATAAGATTCATACCGAATCCTTGAGCCTGGCCATATTTTAGACCGGAACACAGCAAAAGATGTAACCACAGATATTTCATCATGCCGTTTGTCGGTTGTTGAAGCGTAAAATGTTACTAAATTACTGAACGGGAATTTATGATGTCCTGCAGTCTATATCAAATACGCTGCCTTACTTAAATATGCCGAATTATAATATTTGTCGTGTGCGGTTTGGTAAACATTCGTTATTATCTGATGTGAATTAGGCAAAACGAAGGGATGGATGACTTGAGTAGGCAAGGAAGTCATAAACACATGATTGGAGTCGAATTAAAATAAGTAAAAACATCGTTATGTTCGGAAGTTGGAACTTTTTATACCCATCATCACGTGATGAGCATTAAAAATTCTTTAAATCGATTGGGATAGTACCGAATAACATAAAAGAGGTGAAACTTTTATGTTGACATTTTATCAAAACTTGGATCTACACAGACAATTTATCGCACAAAATTTGTTTTACCCTTCAATGGGAAAATCAAGCAAAAATATTCAAAATACTGACAAAGTGAGGCTACCCTTTATGGAGGCAAGATCAACACTTGGACCTATACTAATAACACGATCGTTGGGAAAACCAGTAAACTTCGGTTAATATCATTAGCAAATGTGGAAATTATTTAAAAAGCAATGCGTATTTTCGAAACGACCTCCATAATCTCAACACTACATACAAATTCTGACCGCAACAGAAATCTTGCTCTATACTAAATTTGGTATAATTTTTTACCCTTTTGTACTCTTTGTACCAAAATCCAAATTTAGTACCACTTAATATAAATTTCCACGACTATCTACCCTTATTGCAAATTTCATGATTCCAGCTCTATCGGTTCACATAAATTTAAATTATATCAGATTTATTACAAATCTCTACCCATGCAATTATCATGCAATCCAATGGAAATATTATTACCCAATTTCAGGATTCTAGCTCTATCGGTTCCAACAGTGATTGTAATTTCAAATTTTTATTATTCCAGCACTAAATTAAAATTGTATCAAATTTAGTACCATTTAGTACCCATAAGCACAAATTTCTAAAATTACATTCAAACCCCAATCCTACACTCCAAGAATAATCTTATTTCCAAATTTGAAGTGTTCCAGTTCTACCTGTTCACCTAAATCCAAATTTAGTACACATTTATATAAATTTCCAAAACTTCCTATATATCCAAAACCTACACCCAAAATTCAAATGGTACCAAATTTAGTACAAATAGCTCCCAAATTTCAGTGTTCCACTTCACCCAAATCCAAATTATACCATTATATTAGGTTATAGCACTTTTCGTACACATAAGTAAGCAATTTCTAATTCAAATGGTACCATATAGTACTTTTCGTATAAATGAGTAGACACTTCCAAAACCATGTTCTTATATCGACTCTACTTCTCAACATTGATTCGCATTCCGAATTTCACATGTTTGATATATTCGTTTACATGCTACGAAATTCGGATACTTATAATTCGAATTTCCAAAAAAAACAAACGTTTGGCACTTTTTCTCTACACTCCATCATTGACTCTAATTCCAACTTCCAGAGTACTAGATCAATCCGTCGCCAAATATAAATGGTACCAAATTTTGTACTTTTCGTACCGTTTTAGTATCTGACACCTTTGGACTACGACCCCAAATTTCAAGATAAGTTAAAAACCATTAATCCAATCGTCTCCAAAATTTAACACGTTATTATGGACCTATATAGCTATCGTATGATAAATTAAATCGGGGAAGATTTTGCATATTTTCAGCTTGGTTTTTGGCAGAAAGTCCGCAATTTTAAATAATATTCTTTCAAGGACTACAAAATGCGTGGATTTTTTAAATAATATATTTTCAAGGACTATTGGGGCGAGGATTTTTTAATGAATATTTTTTGAAGGACAATAAAAGTGGTATATTGTTTTCAAGGCGTAGATTTTTTAAAGAATATTTTTCCAAGGAATACAGTGCCTTTTTAAGAATATGTTTTCATTGCCCTTTTGAGGCGTGTCTTTTTTTAACAATATGTTTTTAAGGTCTATTGTAGGCGTGGATTTGTAAATAATATTTTATCAAGGACTTTAAGGTCGTGGATTTTTAAATAATATTTTTTTTTCAAGGACGTTAAATTATAAATCCAATCCCTTTGGCCAAAAATATACGATTTTTCAAAAAAAAATCTTTTTTCTTTAATAAATATATCAGAGTAGTATTTTTTCATTTAAATGTTTTTTTTTCCTAAGTTCCTAAAAATCCCTTTTTGAAATGAAACTAATCAAACTGACTTATTTTTAACATTTATCTCATTCATGTAACCAAACAACAAATGAATAAATTCAACAGTTTTTATTCAGTTTTTGGTGTTGTTTGATTATAATCGAGCCACTCCTTTGGGGATTCGATTTTAGATTTCGTTACGGCGGTAAATGTTTGTCCAACAAACAAGACTATCGATCGTCAGTCGATGGAGACAAAAACTTAAATAAATTCAAATCACGAACAGAAATCAAAAAATCAACAACATTACCAAAAAACCTTTTTTGGTTATATTACATTGCAAACATAACGGTAATGGTCCCTATTGTTGTTGGCAATATTTTAAACCCCCTTAAAGCGCCACAACTATGTTTGGGGTCGTTAATGTTGACCCCTCTACCAACAGGCCACAAAAGTATAGCAGAACATTCTAAGCCATTAACATCTTAACTGTGCATTGACGGTTGTTTGAAGGAGCGGCTAATTACACGCAGCCTATCATGTGTTATTCGAACACTCTAATTATTTGATTTGTTCGGTTCTATGCAAAGTTATGTAGAAAATCGAATCAATATTATATTAGAATTTAATATAAGTAGCCATTCTCTAAGTGGTTGATACAAGTTCGAGTTCGCTTGCATTGAAAACTGAAAAAATGTTGGAGTGTCAGAGACGGCAATTGCTGCTTGATTGGACGTTTTGTTATTTTCTGCTTTTTTTGTTCTTTTACACCAGACAATGGACAAAAGTTGGCCCAAACATATCAAATTGAATCCGCCATCAAACTGGTTATACTTGGCCTTTGAAAGATTGCAGGAGACCAGCCAACAATCTCCGCGGCGGAGTGAGAAATGCATAAATTTATTTGTGATATTTGATTTTTTTTTCAATTTTTTGTTTAAAGTAGGTGAGAATACACAGAAACAAAAGAAAACCCGTTGTGACCAAAACTAAACATAGTTACAATATGTTTGATCCTAGACTAACTAGCTTAGCGTTCGAATGTAATTTTCAAAATGCAATTGAAAGTAAAACTTAAAAAAATAATGATTGACAATTTTGGAGTTTATAATATAAATAGAAGTTAGTTGATGTAAAATACAAATTAAAATAAAATGGTCGAATTGGGAACATAATTCAAGGATGTGTATCTGTACCCACTATAAAGGTGTAGGGTGATGTCAATATAAATCTGCAATAATATCGAAGCATACAATGTACTATTTTTTGGCTAGGCGTTACATTTGACAAATCAAATGTGTATTGTTTTATGTGTAATTTTTAATTTACATATATAAATACAAAAAGAAAATAAATAAATAAAATTTGGTATCCGACAAAAGAGGCGGCACAAGGCAAAACTAACTCCATAATAGCTCATGTCCACTTTATCACCGCGTGAAATGAAATGTGTGTACCAGGCGATTGGATTGAATGTGACCGAAATTGTAACTGGCTGCCAATCGACGGTCGCTGGAAGCTGTGTGTGACATGCAACAATGTTGCCGTATTGATAACTTGGCCGGGCCTTATTGGGAATTCTTTGTGCATATCGATATGGAATTTAAACACAAATTATATAAAAATGTACATTCACAAGTGGTCTACAATAAAAAATATTTGACACGGAAGCCATTGGCCAATGGGGTACTTAGATATGAATGAAATTCAATTGGTTAGGTATGTAATTCAATTATATAATTTTTCTGAGACCATATGGGATTGGTTGCACAGACAGATTTGGAGTGAGCCAAACATGAATGTATGACCTCCAATATGGGGGTAAGAAATGTTGGATCAAACTGAACCATTCGATCAAGGTCAAAACTTCATTCGGAGGTATTCGAGACGCATATATTTTAATGTATATATTGTTTAAGAATGTTTTATTCAAGGCTGTTAAAGGCGTCGATTTTTTAAAGAATATTTTGTTCAGGGTTTTTATATGCTTAGATTTTTAATTGTATTCTATCCCGCTATTTATTTCTTCTGTTATAATTAAACCCTTTAATGTCTATTAATAATCATTTTGTTGATGTTTAAATTGACAAGAAAATTATCAACTTGATTGTCATTGAGACACAATTGTCTCTCATAAATGACACTTGAAAGACTGTTGATTGTGCATTTTTATTTTCGAAATAGTATTAGCATTTATTCCACCTGTCATTTGTTACGAATTGCAAATCATGTTCGTCAACAATACCAATTAGAATTGCATTGCCAAACAAGTAACCAAGGATTTCCTGGGTTATTCCAATAGAAACTTCATTGGGTCGTTCATTCATAATAAATGCTCTGTGTTTATTTTTAGCAAAATCACTACGATCAATTCGATTCGTTACCATTTCAAATCGTATGTGAATTGGAACAAAAAATATATCAATATTAATTTTTTTCGTTTTGTCGTATTAAAAAACAACAACAACAAAATAATACAACTTGTTTGCAAACAATCGTGTTTGAACCCTTGCTGTTGCCCGTGTCGAATCGCTGCAAAATACCACCAGGTGGTTTATTACATTTTTTTTGTAATGGCCATGTTATAGTTTGGCAAATAGAGGGTGAATTCAAATATCCCTCAGCAAAAATCAGATATTTAAAAGAAATAGATCATGAAATAATAAATATTAATTATTGGAAATTAAGAAAAAAAACTTATGAAAAAATGTATTAATTATATTAAAAAGTTTCACTTATGCTCGAACAACAAAGAAAAATGGTTTACAGGAAAGCCCTTAATCTATTCCGTATTAATATTTGGCAATAATGAATTCATATTTTTAATT